ATACCATGCTATCAGTTCTGAGTTTCCTCCGCCTCTTACAGACTAACTTCAAGACAGTTTGACAGATAGATGTCTGGTTTGGGACCAGAGCGCACTAATTACTATGTATATGAAAACGTAAAATTGTTCGAAACCGTTTGGTATCGGAGAGTTTTTATTGAGGTGCTGACAACAAAAAATCTACTATGGCACAACACATACCTCTCATACATCGATAAATGGATTATTTATTGATCCAAATCCGCTCTTATTATTACCAACAGCTGCTGAATTCTGCCAGCAGAGTCCTCGAATTGCAATCGTTCAAAACTTCCCACCTGAGCGATTGCCATTTTCTAGATCATGGGAGTGACTTATCAACAAAAAGAGCCGGTCCGTAATCTTCTAAACAAAGAATACTATTTTCTATTTTCGGTCCGGATTAGTACGGTTTGTTGATTAGTCAATTCCATGACCTACAAAATGGCGTTCACTCAGGTGAGAAATTTTGAACGATTGAAATTTGTAACACGCCGTCCTGACATGTATTGGACATACACATAAGAACGATTATCATTTACAAAATCTGGCCTTAATTCATTGCTAATATAATATGGTATATCATGTAACAAACAGGCATATTTATGATATTAAAAAATACACAATGTGGTAGGACAATTCTTCCCTGAATATTGGCACGGACTACGTGATTCCGTGATTATGGTTACAATTCCTTAGCAATCATGTATTTGAATTTAAATCGTGTCGTAGTTGTCTAGGTATACCTATACATCCGTGGTCATTCAGTAACATAGATTAAACGACCGCTCAAACAAATATGTTGTAGAAAATCATATCATTGACTAACATTTTAATCATAAGAATAAGAGAAATGTTATTCATAGACTGATCCGACATTATTAAAAATAACACGGCTTAATCAGTTTAGTTACGGACTTAAATATATCTTGTGGGTGGTAAGTACAGGTGTAATTGGGCACTAGTACCTGTTGTTTGTTTGTTTTAGTAGATTAACGCCTGCTTCACTACCAGTGGTTCGGTTATCCAGACGACTACTACTAGTTCCGTCCCATTAAAGCGGCTGCATAGTTCGTTCGTTCGATCCGCCGCTATCGGCCAGGTATCAGTTTATCGGTCGATAGCGGCCAGGTATCATTAAGCGGTTTATCGGCGGGTAGCGGCCTCACCCAGCCAGCCAGCCTTGCTGCTTGCTGTTTGACGGGTTGCTAACGTTATCAAAGCTTGGTTAGCTTTTAATTTACACTTCTTTTCTTTTGTTAATATATTGGTCCTTTCGATATATTCTGTGTTTACAATAGACTCTACTGAAATGGATAAAATGTCAAAACAAGATTTTTATCCTGACGGAAAGAATTAAGAGGTCAGAAGTAAAATGTCATTTTTTGCAGTGGTAAACAGTGTGACGGGAACTGTGAACTGTAGTTAGGTAGGAACACTACAGTAAGTAGGTCAGAGGAAACCATCCGCTTCGGGGAAGAGTGCGGGAAGCACAATTTCAGCAAGCACAGCATCGTCAGAAAATTAATCCGAATATTTGTATTAATTGTATACTCACAAAATACATGCATTGTTGTATTTTTCACATACATATGGTAAGTTGAGAAAGTATCGAAGTGAATGGTTTCTCTGCCCATAAGTTGGCGAACCACAAAATGGCGTCACTACGGTATGAATGAAAATGCTAGGGGTCGCTGCCAAAAACATTTGCATATGAATGAAATGTGAATGAATGAAATCCATATAAGGAGATATCAGCTACCATATAAGGACAGAAAGACCATATATAGTCATAGATGGCATGTGTGTAGAAAATGCAGTTCCACGTTAAGCAAATTTCGTAGTATGCCCGATCCCCTAGACACTTGCGTTACCTAACGCATGTGTCAAAAATCATGATTTTTAACACTTTTTGGCGTTTTTTTATGTGGTAACCATGGTTTTCACAAATCCCAAATCTGGGGAAATCACCTTTTGAAAAAAAAATCCTTCTTCTAAAAAAAACGTATTCAAAATGAAGTTAATAAATATATATATATATATGTAGGTGTGATGTGCAGGATGAATCTGCTATCCATGTTTATCTGAGACATGCCCTTTATTTTCAGGGTCAAGCCATTTCTACTGTACTCTGCTACCATAATGTCATATTAAAATGTTTACCAGTAACTCCATAAAAGTAGAGGTAACTCTAAATTTTATTTATGTCCCCTTCATGTAAGGGCTCTCAACACAAAGTATCATCTATATCAGTAGCTTACTTTGGGATTGACAAGTGCAATGGGGCAAAACTAATAAAGGGAGGTAATGCCAGTTTATTTATTTAATTAACATTCCATCATTGTAAGCATTTTCCAAGTATCATTGAAATCCACACAGAACTTAATGAGGAGTTCAAAAACTGTTTTTCAAAGAAGGGGCATAACTAGTGAAGGTAGCTTAAATTCTTTTAGTTTATTAATATTCTCTCAATTTAAGCATTATGTGTACAAGGTATCATTTAAATTGGTGCAGTACTTTGGGAGGAGTAGTGTGAACAACTACTTCTTTAACAACACTCTGTGATAGCATTATAGGCAATATTAATTTATTATGAGTTTAGAGTCAATCTCTTGAGAAGGAGTCACAAATGCCTCAGCCAATCAGAGGCCAGGTCAGCCATCTTGAATTTTCAGATTCGCACAAATAATAAGAGAACTTAACAAGAATTTGAAATATCTATTAATATGAGACCATGGTAGCAATCTTAGATTTTTAGGTTGTAACTATTCTTGGTCGGGGTTGTGATAATGAATATTTGTACGAAGTTTGGACTTAGTTATTGTGATTTTTAAGAAGTCAAAAATGTTCTATTGCTAACAAATGATGAAAGATGCAAAAAACAGATATACAAAGACAGAGAGCTATATCAACACATGTGATATAACGTCCAAATTTACCATTTCTGTTCAGCTGCAGATGAAGTAATGGTAAGGCAAGTGGTTGTTTTAAAACAAGAGGCCTAATGGGCCTGAATCGCTCACCTGGTATTAATTTCACACTTGTTATCTTAAAAGTGGACTAAAATACAGCTACAGGAACAATATCAGTGTTTGATTCATAAGAACCTATCAAAAGATTTAAACATATGCCTCCTGTGGCCTTGAATGTCGAACAAGGACATTAGGTTGAACAGAATTTATAGCCTTCCAACACAGCATGCTTTTGGCAAAATGTAATTACCCTGGACCTTTTGGTTATACAGAAAAAGTCATTTAAAGATTTAAACATATATTGACCACTGTAACCTTGAGTATGGGCGAAGGTCATTCATTTGAATAAACTTGGTAGCCCTTCATCTGAGCAAATTACTGACCAAATATCATTATCCTAGGCCTCTTGGTTATTCAGAGGAAGTTGATTTAAGGTTTTCAACATATTTGACCCCTTTGACCTTGAATATAGGTCAAGGCTATTCTTTTGAACAAACTTGGTAGCCCTTTATCCCAGCATGTTACTGGCCAAATATCATTATCCCAGGCTTCTTAGTTATTCAGGAGAAGTTGTTTAGAGGTTTTAAACATATTTGACCCCTGTGATCTTGAATATGAGTCAAGGTCATTCATTTGAACAAACTTGGTAGCCCTTCATCACAGCATGCTACTGGCCAAATAGCATAATCCTAGGACTTTTTGTTATTCACAAGAAGTTGTATAAAGTTTTTAAACATAATTGACCCCTGTGACCTTGAATATAAGTAAAGGTCATTCCTTGTAGCATATCTGTATCAGAATTGTCATGGCCAGCAATTTTATATATGGTTATGGGGTCGGGATCTCAACTGTTTCCAAGCTGTGACCAGGGTCCCTAGTATTAATTATAATATCATGACTGCATTCATCTCTTCCTGACCAGCATTTATATATATAGTTTTGGGGTGGGGATCTCAACCGTTTCAAAGTTATGAACCAGGGGTTAAGTCTCCAAGGGTGGGGCAGACCCTGGAGTCATCCTGGAAGCATATGGGCATTGGTCTCTTTATACTCAGCAAATGTATATATGGTTATAAGGTGGGGATCTCAACTGTTTCCAAGCTGTGACTCAGAAACTAGGTCCCTACAGATTTGGCCAGACCCCAGGGTCTATTCTAATATCATGACTGAGTTTGTCTCTTTATGCCCAGTATTTGTATATATAATTTTGGGGTGGGGATCTCAACCGTTTCAAAGTTATGACCCAGGGGTTAAGTCTGGATGGGTTGGACAGACTCCAGGGGCAATTCTAATATCATGACTGCATTTGTCTCTTTATGCCCAGCATTTATATATATATAGCTTTGGGGTGGGGATCTCAACCGTTTCAAAGTTATGACCAAGGGATTATGTGTCCAAGGTTGGGGCCAGACTCCAGGGCCATCCTGGAAGCCTATGTGCATTCCTCTCATTAAACTTAGCAATTGTATATATGGTTATAGGGTGGGGATCTCAACCATTTCCAAGTAATAAACTATTTTTGGCCCTACCCCTTAGCCGGGGGGTCAACCTCACAATTTGTACAATTTTGAATCGCTGCCTCCGGGGCTCCCATGAATGCTTCCAACCAAATATGATTGATATCCATTGCAAAGTTTTGCAGAAGAAGTTGTTTATAGCAATATAGCCAATTTACCTCCTTTTGGCCCCATCCCTCAGCCCCCTGAGGGGTCAGCCCCACCATTTGTACAACTTTGAATCGTCACCACCTAGGGATTTTTCCACTTAAATTTAATTAAATTCCAATCAGTGGTTAAGAAGAAGAAGTCGTTTGAAGAAATTGTTGAAGGACAGACGACGGACGGACGGCGGATGCCACGGTATGGCATAAGCTCACCTTGGTCCTTCGGACCCGATGCGTTAAAAATAGTAAAACATATTTATCTCATACCTGCTGAATGTTTTCTCACTCTTATCCCATGGAATCGTTTTTTAATTATTTCACATATCGATCTCACCTTATGTCAAGCTTCTGGAGATTTTTTAAGCCTCCAAGTGCCTCAGGAAGGGACTCCAACCGGTTATCATGTAACTGTTAATTGGAGGAAAATGGAAACCTGAGTAAATAAATTTGTCTATGTTAAAAATTACAAGAGGCTCAGAGGGCCTGTATCGCTCACCTGAATATTTAAGCAGTCATAGCAAAATATTCTCATTAAATATTATATTGCACTAAAAATATTTCCCTCGCAAACTTTGTAGGCTCCATCTGTTGAAACTACGAGCCAAAGATTCTATGCTTTTTCATTCTTCTTCAGAAGTTGCTTGACCTATTTTTCCTTGTGACCTTGTAAGTAGGTCAATGTCATTTTCCTTCTCAAATTGGTTAGCTCTATTCCAAAAAGCTACCAGCCAAATCTTATGAATCCATTCTTTTTAGTTCTTAAGAACAAATCCTTTGAAATGTTGTTGACCTCTGTGACCTCTAAAGTAGGTTGAGGTCATTTTCATTCGCAAACGTTGGCGAGATCAATCCCAGGAATTCACCAGCCAAACATTATAATTTTATGCATTTTAACTCTTCAGAAGAAGTCTTTTGAACCGTTTTACATATTTGAACGCTGTGACCTTGAAAGTAAGTCAAAGTCATTTTCATTCGCAAAATTTGTTTGGCTCTATCATAGGAAGCCACCAGCCAAATGTTAAAATTTTATACCATTCAGTTCTTCAGAAGAAGTTGGCGTTAGACATATCTGACTCATGTGACATTGAAAGTAGGTCAAGGTCATTTTCATTCGCAAATTTTGTTGGGCTCTTGCCCAGGAAATAACCAGCCAAATATTAAGGTTCTATACCTTCCATTTCTTCAAAAGAAGTTGTTTGATGTGTTTGATATATGCGACTCATGTGTCCTTTAAATAAGGTCAAGGTCATTTTCATTCTCAAACTTTGTTGGGCTCTTTCCCAGGAAGCTACCAGCCAAATATTTAGGTTCTATACCTTTCAGTTCTTCAGAAGAAGTTGTTTTAAGCATTAGACATATCTGACTCCTGTGACCTTGAAAGTAGGTCAGGGTCATTTTCTTTTTTAATTTTTTTTCGGGCTCTATCCCAGGAAGCCACCAGCCAAATATTAAGACTCTATACCTTTAGGTTCTTCAGAAGAAGTCGTTTGAAGTGTTTGAGACATTTGACCCCTGTGACCTTAAAAGAAGGTCAAGGTCATTTTCGTTCTCAAACTTTTTGGGCTCTATCCCAGGAGGCCATCAATCAAATATAAAGATTCTATACCTTTTAGTTCTTCAGAAGAAGTTGGTTTTGGCGTTTTGACATATTTTACCGCTGTGACCTTGAAAGTAGGTCAAGGTCATTTTCGTTCTCAAACTTTGTTGGGCTCAATTCAAGGAAGCAATCAATAAAATATGAAGATTCTATACCTTTTAGTTCTTCAGAAGAAGTTGTTTGAAGTTTTTGACAATTTTGACCCCTGTGACCTTGAAAGTAGGTTAAGGTCATTTTTCGTTCTAAAACTTTGTCGGGCTCTTACCAACAAAGCTTTCAGCTAAATATCATGACTCTAGGCCTGTCAGTTCTTCAGAAGAAGTTGTTTAAAGGAAAAGTTGACGGACGAGGACGGAGGGACGACGCACCGTGACATAAGCTCACTTGCCCTTCGGGCAGGTGAGCTAATAAAACAATGAACCATAAGACTAGGTAAATTATGCATACTTGGAAAAAAATCACTTAAATAACAGCAAACTAGGCATATGTCAAACTGACATTTACTGCCCTCTTTGTAATGATTGAAATACAATTAATATATATATATATAAATAGTGATTTTTTTAAAGAATTTAACAAGAAGCCCAATGGGCCTAAATTACTCACCTGGTATTAATCTTACACTTGTAATCTTAAAAGTGGACTAAAATACAGCTACAGGCGAAATATCAATGTTTGATTCAAAAGAATCTATCAAAAGATTTAAACATGTGACACATGTGACCTTGAAAGTCAAACAAGGACATTAGGTTGAACAGACTTTATAGCATTTCATACCAGTATGCTTCTGGCCAAATATTACCCTGGACCTTTAGATTATTCAGTTGTTTAAAGATTTCAGCATATTTGACCTTTTTGAATTTGCAAATGGGTGAAGGTCATTCATTTGAACAAGAGGCCCATGATAAATTTATACAGAGTTGATTTTTGTTTTTAAAACATGATTTCAACATATATGACCCCTTTGACATTGAATATGGGTGAAGATCATTCATTTGAACAAACTTGAAAGCCCTTTATCCAAGCATGCTGCTGGCCAAATATCAACACATTAAACCTCTTGGTTATTTAGAATAAATTGTTTAAAAGTTTAAACATATTTGACCCCCCTGTGACCTTGAAAATGGGCGAAGGTCATCTATTTGAATAAATTTGGTAGTGCTTCATCCTAGCATGTTATTGGCCAAATATTCAGAAGAAGTTGTTTAAAGTAAAAAATTAACGCTGGATGGACACCGGATGGGCGACGGACGCCGCACCATGCCATAAGCTCACTTATGGCGAGCTAAAAACAAGAGGCCCAATGGGCCTGCATCGCTCACCTGGTATTATTAATCTCACACTTGTAATCTTAAAAGTGGACTAAAATAAAGCTACAGGCAGAATATCAGTGTTTAATTCATAAGAACCTATTAAAAGATTTAAACATATGACACCTGTGACTTTGAATGTCGAACAAGGGCATTAGGTTGAAAGTGGGTCAAGGTCATTCATTTGAACAAACTTGCTAGTCCTTCATCCCAGCATGCTACAGGCCCAATTTAGGTACCCTAGGCCTTTCGGTTTTTGAGAAGTGGTTTGAAGATTTTACGACATTTGACCCCTGTGACCTTGAAAGTAGGTCAATGACATTCATTTGAACAAATTTAGTAGCCCTTCATCCCAGCATGCTACAGGCCCAATATCAGTACCCTGGGCCTTTTGGTTATTGAGAAGAAGTTGTTTAAAGTAAAATATTGACGCCGGACAGACGGAGGACGCACCACAGCATAAGCTTACTTGGCCCTTCGGGCCAGGTGAGCTAACAAGAAATCGCCAATCACGATAAGGCAATATTGATGCAGTACATTTTCATGTAAAGCATCACATGTGATAAGCATTCTTTAAGAAACATTAGCCATGAAAGTTTAGTTGATGTACAACAAACAGTAACTTGGTAAATGACCTTGACCAATCTCCTTAACCATAGTGCAGATGGGGACTGACCTTAACCAATCTTCTTAACCTTGGTCAGTCAAGCGGAAAAAGTAGGTCAGAACAGCATTCGAAGCATCACATGTGATGAGCATCCTTAGATACATTAGCCATTCAAGTTTAGTTGATGTAGGACAAGTAGTTACTTGGAAATTGATCTAAACCAAACTTCTTAACCTGATCACTGAAGCGAAAAATGTAGGTCAGAACCAGCATCCAAAGCATCGCATGTGATCAGCATCCTTAGATACATAAGCCATGCAAGTTTAGTTGATGTAGGACGATTGGTCAATAGAACGTTTGAGGTCGGTGTCGTACTTGTAATCAAATGCAGTGTACAACATTGTATCTTTTTCGGAGACTTGTTGTTTGCGCGCTTTGTCAACTTACGATTACGCATACACGTATATGGAAATGTAAAATTTGCATTGCATGTACATGTGTCAAACCATGTGTCATATGACTTGCATGTTTCGTTGCATGTGTACTTATCCACATTTTCGTGAACTATAATGGTATAGATATGCATAACTAGGCACCATGCAACCTTCATATGAAATTTGAAAATGATCCCTCTGGTGCGTTCTGAGAAATGGCACAAACAAACCTAAACTCTCAAATTAACAAGAGGCCCAGAGGGCCTGTATTGCTCACCTGGATATCTAAGCAGTCATGGCAAAATATTCTCCAAATGAGATCCGAGGGAATATGCCAGACCCCAAGGCCAATCCTTGTAGCATATTTATATTAGATTTTTCATGCCCAGCAATTTTATTAGTGGTTATGGGGTGGGGATCTCAACTGTTTCCAAGCTGTGACTAAGAAACTAGGTCCCTAGGGTTGTGGCCAGACCCCAGGATCAATTTTAATATCATGACTGCATTCGTCTCTTTTTGCCCAGCATTTGTATTTATTGTTTTTGGGTGGGGATCTCAACCATTTCAAAGTTATGACCCAGGGGGTAAGTCTGCAAGGGTTGGGCAGACCCTGGGGTCAATTCTAATATCATGACTGCTTTCGTCTCTTTATGCCTAACAATTGTATATATAGTTTTGGGTTGGGGATCTTAACCATTTCAAAGTTATGACCCAGGGGTTAAGTCACCAAGGATGGGGCAGACCCCAAGGCAATCCTGGAAGCATATGTGCATTCATCTCTATTTACTCAGCAATTGTATATATGATTATAGGGTGGGGATTTCAACTGTTTCCAAGCTGTGACTAAGAAACTAGGTCCCTAGGGGTTCGGTCAGACACCAGGGTCTATTCTAATATCATGACTGCATTCGTCTCTTTATGCCCAGCATTTGTATATATAGTTCTGGGATGGGGATCTCAACTGTTTCAAAGTTATGACTCAGGGACTATGTCTCCAAGGGTGGGGCCAGACCCTAGGGCCATCCTGGAACCGAATGTGCATTCTTCTCTTTATACTCAGCAATTGTATATATGATTATATACGGTGGGGATCTCAACCATTTCCAAGTAATACATTTTTTTGGCCCCACCCATTAGCCCGGGGGTCAGCCACACCATTTGAACAATTTTTAATCCCTGCCTCCCATAAATGCTTCCAACCAAATATGATTGATATCCAGTGCATTATATATATAGTTCTACAGAAGAAGTCGTTTGTAGCAATATAGCCAATTTGCCCCTTTTTGGCCCTGTCCCTCAGCCCCCTGGGGGGTCAGCCCAACCATTTGTACAATTTTGAATCTCTACTACCTAGGGATGCTTCCAGTCAAATACGGTTGACATCCATCTTTTAGTTCCAGAGAAGTTGCTTAAAGCAATATAGCCAAATTGGCCCCTTTTGGCCCCGACCCTCAGCCCCCTGGGGGGTCCCACCATTGGTACAATTTTGAATCTACACTACCTACGGATGCTTCCAGTCAAATATGGTTGATATCCATCTTTTAGTTTCAGAGAAGAAGTCGCTTAAAGGAATATAGCCAAATTGCCCCCTTTGGCCCTGCCACTCAGCCCCCTGAGGGGTCAGCCCCACCATTTGTACAATTTTGAATCCCCACCACCTATGGATGCTTCCAGTAAAATTTAGTTAAATTACAATCAGTGGTTAAGAAAAAGAGGTCGTTTAAAGAAATTGTTGACGTATGGACGCTGGACGCCACGGTATGGCATAATATTAAGCTACCTTGGTCCTTCGGACCCGGTGAGCTAAAAATGCTCTAGACCAAATTGGGATGATAACTGAAAATTTGCTAGATGTGTTCCTAACAACATTCTTTGTGGCTAATTTAGAAGAAATTATAAATTATCAAAGTTTCCTTGGCATAATTTGTAATCTTTTAATTTGTAATCGTTTAATTTGTGCCCTGTGCTCTGTAAGCTTAGCCTTATGCTACATCTTAACACACACCTGTTACAAAGCAGCACAAAATTGTCCGTAAATGTGGTTCAACTCTAGAAATAGTGTCCACAAATTTGCTTCAGCTATAGATCTATAAATACATTTAGAAGATTACCTGAGGGGGGAAACCTTTTGCAACACTACCCCCTGCTGTCAGTTAGGCATAACTACTGAACACGTAGCTCAAGTTGTCAAAGCATGGTTAGCTTTATCCTTCTGTTAATGTACATGTGATTCCATGCAACTTAAAGTGCTTATTTTAAAGTACCAGTTACAACAACAAGAGTACCAGGGGGTGGAACAACATACGCCCATCGAATGCCATATAGTGTTATATATACTTTCTTACATTGAAATAAGATCTGCATCATTCTAAGAGTGGTTAGCTGCCATGCTATAAAAAATGTAGAAGAAAATCTCCAGACAAAAAATCAAATACTGAAATGAACAAAGGGCAATAACTTTTGCAAAAATCGTTGAATCAAATTTTTTTAAGGGAAACATAACTGCATATCATAATTATAATGTATACCAAGTTTCAAAGAGATCGGTCGAAAAAGGGAGGAGGAGATTGCCAGACAAACAAAGGTTTACGCCCGATGGATGGACGGACAACCCCAGACCATAATAATTCCGTCAAATTTGACAGGCGTATAAAAACTTCAAGATCAACATCTCTTAAACGGTTTTTTAAGATATTGTTGTCTGAAATTTGAAAATCTTTTAACCCATGTTGACCTTTGACTCCGGCTAGCACTTAAAGTTGACCTTTGACCTCATTACTGTAATAAAGAAAACGATTCACACAGCTGGACTTTATAACATACCGAAGTATCATGAATCTAGTCCAAATGGTTCTTAAGATATTATTGTATGAAGTTTTTACCATATTTGACCCCTGTGACATTGAAAGTAGGTCAATGTCATTATTATGAAGAAGCTTTATAGCACACCAGTCCAGGTACCTACTCGCCTAATATCATGACCCTGGGCCTTATGGAACTTGAGGAGAAGACTGTTAAAGCTCTTAACCAATGTTGACCTTTGACCCCTGACCAACACTTAAAGTTGATATTTTACCTCATTACTGTAATTAAGAAAAGGATTCACACAGCTTGTCTACATAATATACCCAAGTATCATGATTCTAGTCCAAATGGTTCTTAGAATATTGTTCTTTGAAGTTTTTACCATATTTGACACCTGTGACCTTGAAAGTAGGTCACGGTCATTTTAATTAAGGGCACTTTATATCCCTCTATCCCAGGTACCTTCTGGCCAAATATCATGACCCTTGGCCTTATGGAACTTGAGAAGAAGATTGTTAAAGGTTTTTACCTATATTGAGGTTTAAGACCCCCCGGCAAACTATGACTTCGTTACTGTTATTAAGAAAAAGATTTCCACTGCTGGTCTACATAACATAACCATGTATCATGACTCTAGTCCAAATGGTTCTTAGGATATTGTTGTTTGAACTTTTTAACATATTTGACCCCTGTGACCTTGAAAGTAGGTCAAGGTCAATTTTAATAAGGAAACTTTGTAGCACCCCATACTATCTACCTACTGGTCAAATGTTGTGTTCCTAGGTCCCCCTGTTCTTCAGAAGAAAATAAAAAACGTTGATGGCCGGACGCTGGATGAGGGACGACGGACCACGGACAACGCAGTATGGCATAAGCTCACATGGCCCTTCAGGCCAGGTGAGCTAAACAACCCATAGGTAGGTAAGGAAACCTAATACAAATATTTGTTTGGCCTAATTTGTCAATGTAGTGCTCACATCTAGGACAGTCAGAGCTCCGAAGTTACTCAGCCCTTCAGCAAGTGAAGTGAGCCAGTTTGAAGCTAGGATGAGTTTAGTCAACTCAGCCGAGTCCCACCACCTGTCCTCAGAATTGTCCAGAGAGACATCTTTACTTTCCTCAGACACATCTGCATAGAGGCTCCACACTGCATCAGGGACTGAGGATACAAACATAACATTATCCATTATTCATACTGGTTTAAAGGTTTATACAACATTTGATATAGCGCCCTATCTAGCTAACTTAAGCCACTCTAAAGCGCTTTACAGTACATAGATATACAATTTTAAGAATCAGGTACAATGAATACAAAAAATAAAGTTTATATGTTTAAACAAGAAACCATATATATTGTTAAAGCATTCCTCAATTTACACCAACCACGATTGTTATCGCACAACGTTTGTCCATCGTGCACACAAATGTGCGCAAGCAATGATCGTCCAACTTTTTATCGTTCGCACATCGTGCACACATCGTTCACACACCGTGCACACGATGTGCGATCCCACAACTGTACATTAATCAATACAATTTTGAGGAATTCGCAGGAGCTTTCAGGCGCTAACTACCATATGTGACTTTGAAAGTGGGTCAAGGACATTTTGGGTGGTCAGGTGGTGCAGTGGATAGTGCACTTGCCTTTCACCAAGCGACTGGGGATTGATTCCTCGATCGGACGTGAAAAAAAATGGGGTCACCTGCCCGACCACGTGGGTTTTCTCTGGGTACACCGGTTTCCGCCCACAATAAGACCTTCCGCACACTAACATCCGGGACAGCAAAAGTGATAAATATAAGTTGTGAAAACTTGTTTCATAATTGTTGTTAAATGAATAAAGTTTATATATAAGGACATCCACATGGCCAAACTTGATAGATCTTTAACTGAGCATGCTACAGGCATTTTGGTTATTCAGAAGAACTTGTTTAAAAGTTTAAACACATGACCCCTGTGACCTTGAATATGGCCGATGGTCATTCATTAGGACAAACCTTGTAGTGTTTTATCTGATCATGTAATTGGCCCCATATCATCATCCTAGCCCTTTTGGTAAATTAGAAGAACTTGTTTAAAGTCTTTTTAAGACAATTGACCCCTACAATCTTAAATAAGGCTGAATGTCATTGATTTGAATAAATTTGATAACCCTTCATCTCAGCATGCTTCTTGCTTAACATCATCACCTTAACCATTTTGATTTTTCAGAAGGTGTCATTTAAAGTTTTTAACATATTTGACCCCTGTGACCTTAAATATGAGTAAAGTTCATTCTCTTGGTTAAACTTGGTAGCCCTTCATTCAAGCATGTTACTTGCCACATTTCATCATCCTGGGCCTTCTGGTTATTCAGAAGAAGTTGTTTAAATATTTAAACATATTTGAACACTGTGACTTTGAATATGAGTACAGGTCACAGACTTTTTTGCTCAGTTTTATAGCCTAATACAGGATGTTTCTCCTAGCTAAAAAGTGCCTTATTTTCCCAATATGACAAAAACATGAGGAATATATTCCCAAGCTGTTGGAGAACAGCACCAAAGCTCGCCTACTGGTGATTGTGTTGTAAGATAGCAAATATCAATAGAAACACATGTACAGTAAAACCCTGATATAATGGCTGTCATTTCATTTGCCACCTTTCTTACCGCCAACATATTTTCAGGTATCTTAATTATGTTTTTCTTAAGAATTCCCTTATACTTTTCCCTCAATTTATTGCCAAACCCCTTTATCATGCCAATAATTCTTTGAACAAATGGTGGTAATATAACAAGATTTTGCTGTACCATTACATGTAGTACAACGTGAAATAGTCAACAGCCTATTGATGGTGGTACCCGATCCGACACTGCACATGCAAACTTACCCAAATCCTTAACCAAGCCCAATAAACCAGTTTGTCCCGTAAAATATGAAAATATGGTTCAGAACATTGCTTACACTCCATATATATACTTGAACCCTATAATAGACAACAGCCTATCGATATTAGCGATCCAACACTTCACAAAAAAACCTTGACCAAAACCTTTAACCTCAAGCTTGCCCAAATACTTTAACCAAGTCTAATTCAGCTGTTTTTGGCCCCTAAAATATGAAAATATGGTTCAGCACATTGCTTACACTCCATATAAATACTTCAAACTCATTGTAGACAACAGCCTATTGATCATGGTGATCCAACACTTCACAAAAATAAACTTTAACCAAAAACTTCAACTTTATTAGCCCCCCTATTCTCTGAATAGGCGAGCTAATAAAAATTAAGTTTTTTTCCCAATTAATAAAGGAACAGGCTGTTGTAAAATGAAGGTACAAACAAGAGGCCCAATGGGCCTGCATCACTCACCCCATATTTATCTCACAATTGTAACCTTAAAAGTAGACTAACATAAATTAAAGCTACAGGAAAAATATCAGTGTCTTGACTCAAAGTCATTAAAAAAATCTAAGATTTAAACACATTTGACCCCTGTAACCTTGAAAGTCAAACAAGGACATTCAGTTGAACAAACTTTATAGCCCTGCATCCCAGAATGCAACTTTCTAAATATCACTTCCCTATACCTTTTGTTTATTGAGAAGATTACTTTTAAAGATTTATACACAAATGACCAGATGTGAGCTTGAAAGTGTGTCAAGGACATTCATATGAACAATCTTGATAGCTCTTCATCCGAGCATGCTACTGGTCACATATCACCATCCTTTGCATTTTGGTTTTTCAGAAGAAGTCATTTAAAGTGTGTGGTTTTTTTTATATATTTGACCTCTGTGACCTTGAATATAAATCAAGGTCATTCATTTGAACAAACTTGGTAGCCCTTCATCCCAGCAAGTTACTGGTCAAATATCATCACCCTGGGCCTTTAGGTTATTCAGTAGAAGTTGTTTAAATGTTTAAACATATTTGACCCCTGTGACCTTGAATATGGTGAAGGTCATTCGTTTGAACAAACTAAGTAGCCCTTTAAATAAGCATGCTTCAGGCCAAATATCCTCATCCTGGGCCTTCTGGTTGTTCAGAAGAAAATTTGATTTTTTTTAACATATTTGACCCCTAAGACATTGAACATATGTCAGGGTCATTCATTTGAACAAACTTCAACGCATTTCACCCCAGTATGTAACTGGCCAAATATCATGACCCTAGGCCATTTTAAACATACACCCATTTGACCCATGTGACTTTGAATTTAAGTCAAGGTCAATCATTTTGACAAAATTGGTTGTGCCTCATCCAAGCATGCTTATAGCCATATATCATCATCCTGGGCCATTGGATTATTCAAAGAAGTCGGGGTGATTCATTTGAACACATTTCGATGTGTTTCATCCCACCATGATACTAGCCAAATATCAACAACCTAGGCTTTCTGGTTATTCAAAAGAAGTTATTGAAAGATTTTTAACATATTTGACCCCTTGTGACCTATAATATAAGTCAAATGCAAGGTCGTTCAATTGAAAAAACCTGGTAGCCCCTGATCCCAGCATGTCCCTGGCGAAATATCATCACCCTGGGCCAGTTGACGCCAGACAGACGACAGACGGACGATGGACGGATGACGGACGCCGCACCACGGCATAAGCTCACTGCCAAACCCCTTTATCATGCCAATAATTCTTTGAACAAATGGTGGTAATATAAAAAGGTTTTGCTCACTAAAAACATTGGGTCATTCTTCTGAACAATTTTGGTAGCCCTTAAGGCTTCATTTAAGCATGTTACTGGACATATTGGTATAGCTTTTGCCTGAGCAATGCACATGTCAAATATCATAACTCTAGGCTTTGTTATTCTAAAGAAGTTGTTAATAGAACGAGAGGCGCCAGGGCCGATACAGCTCACCTGGTATTTTATTTTCAATTTAAAACCTGCGGAGTACCATACCAGTTTATTAAAAGTATACAAGAAATACAAGCTACAAGAAGGACTACATTTAATGAGGTGGGTAAGACATCAAGAACATGAGTGTATTCTTCATACTTATCAATTTTTATATGGTTATGGGGTGGGGATCTCAACTGTTTCCATGTTATGACCATGGGAAGTAACCTTCAGGGGTGGGTCAGGACCATGTAGCAATCCTGATAACATGAATGTTTTACTTCTTTTTTAATGACTAGCAATTGTACATTTGGCTATAGGGTGCCAGGGGCAATAACCCTAAATTTGTCAAAAGATTATATTGAAACATACTTCCCCTATTGGACCCCGACCCTCTAACTGTATTACCTATGATACTGAACATCTGACAGTTCTGTGTGGTATCACTAACTAATGTTAATGATAATACTGAACATCTGACAGTTCCGTGTGGTATCACTGATGTTACTGATAAAATTGAACTAGTGAAATTCTCTTTGGCACCACTGTTGTCACTGATGATATTGAATCTGTTAAGTTCTGTGTAGTACCACTGATGTCACTGATAAATCTGTACAAGTGATAGTTCTTTGTGTTACCAATGATGTTGTTGATGATACTGAACCAGTGAAGTTCTATGTTGTACCACTGATGTTTATGATGTTACTGAATCAGTGAAGTTCTGTGTGGTACCATTGATGTTAATGATGTTACTGAACAAGTGACAGTTCTGTGTTGTACCACTGATGTTAATGATGATACTGAACCAGTGACAGTTCTGTGTAGTACCACTGATGTTAATGATGTTACTAAACCAGTGACAGTTTTGTGTGGTACCACTGATGTTAATGATGTTACTGAACCAGTGACAGTTCTGTGTAGTGCCACTGATGTTAATGATGTTACTGAACTAGTGACAATTCTGTATAGTACCACTAATGTTAATGATGTTACTGAACTAGTGACAGTTTTGTGTAGTACCACTGATGTTAATGATGTTACTGAACTAGTGACAATTCTGTAGAGTACCACTGATGTTTATGATGATACTGAACCAGTGACAGTTCTGTGTAGCACCACTGATGTTTCTGATGACACTGACCCTGAGTGACTGTTCTGTGTAGTAGCACTGATGTTTCTGATGACACTGAACCTGAGTGACAATTCTGTAGAGTACCACCGATGTTTATGATGTTACTGAACCAGTGACAGTTTTGGGTGGGACCACTGATGGTAATGATGATACTGAACCAGTGACAGTTCTGTGTAGTACCACTGATGT